TATATATAACCCTATATCTGACTCTTTTAGTTTTAGGACTTACAAACAACCGTTATGTGAACAAAACTATAATACTCTCTTTAGCAACTTTGTTGCGGGAGTATAATAATAGAGTAATTTTAAGTTGCAAAAAATGCATGTCATAAGCGCGCTACGAACCAAAAACTATATGCACTAAGCTTAACACAAGCTTCCGCAATTACCAGCTTTCAGCACCATTAAGTGACCGCCACTTCAAACTAAATGATCCATTTCCGAGAAAGGTTCACTGTCACCAACATAAAATCGCACGTATCACCCTTAAGGGATGTACGTATGTATGTATTTTACACATACACATATACGTATGTATGAATAGTCTACACATGCGTAAATGTTGACAGTTCGAGCTTAATGTTACTTTTTTCTATAATTGATTATCAATAGTTACATATGTACATATATTTAGTATAATCTTTCGTATATGTCAGAGTGTTATCTTGAGTTCTCACGAGCTGCTGCACTTAGTTTCCACAGTTGCAGTTAGTTCCGTACACTTCGACCGTTAATATGTTGTTTTATTTTTATTTGTAGTTGGGTATTTCTGATAAGACTCGCTTGCATCTAATGCTGACTAAAACGCTACGAATTGCATTCACAGAATTCAGTTTCAGCAGATAAACATATGTATGTACAAATATACAAATATAAATGTGTGTGTGTGTGTCAACCAACCACTTGTTGTTACAATTGGTCTATATTATGTATATTTGTATGTATGTACATATATTTAGAAGGCACCTGCGCATTTTCGTTGCTCCGCTTTTGCTGAACCGGTCCTGCGGGGCTTTTTGCTTTAAATTTCGCTTCAATCACTGAAGTCTTTTCAGTTGATAAACGCTCGTGCTTTAGTTAACTCGAACAGTGGTGAACAGTAGTGCCGCGAGCTCACTCGTTTTGTTCTGTATAAATATATTTATATACAATTATTATAGTGCTAATAGGTTTTATTGCCATTTATTGTTGTGCGGCAGTTTTAATTGAATTTGTTGCTCATAAAATTTACTTAGAATTACAAAGTGTAAAGAAGTGCAAACATATACAAAGTTAAATTTTGGTGAGTGAGCTGAAAAGGAAATTTTCATATCTTTCATAMAAAAAAAAAAAAAAAAAATAAAATTAATAAAACAAATAGAAAAAATATAGTTTTTTATTACAAAATTTCTTAATAAATATTCATAAAAAAATTCTTAATAAATAGTTTTTCAATAACTGTTCTTTAAAACATTTTTATTGTTAGATATTTCTGATGCATTTGTTTTAATAATTTATTAATTTAAAAATTTTGCATAAATAAGCCAAAAAATTCTAGTTTTGTGCCTTTTCCATTAATCGTGTGCTACAATCCCGTATACATACAAATTTATAAGTGCATATACCCAATGTAAAGATGTATTTGTGAACTGGCTAATAAGTGCATTAACACAAATTCTTTTGCTTTACTATGTTATGTTATGCTAACTATAATACTGTTAGTTCATATTCAAGCTAAAATATACATACATACATATATACGCATTCACTTACCATTTACCAGCAAAAATTTACTTTATTAATGCTTATTCTTTTAATTACCTGTCGATTCGATACACAAATAACAAGGCTAACATTATTTCGTATAAGCTTTCATAGTATATTTGCATAAATCGCATAATATATATGTACATAAGCACATAGGTAAAGTATGTACGTATGTATGTCTCAAATATTTACATTGAATCTTTGCCAATGGGTTTCGGAGCGCATAAGTCAGGGGCGTAGCACGCAGAAAAAGAAACATAGAAACTTCCACGGTACAATTAGGTTCATTTGTTATTAATTATTTACGTTTTCTTTATAAAATCAGCAGTTTAAAGTACATATGTACAAATCTGGTGTTATAACACTGTGGAACAATTTTGGGATTATTGTCTGGGGGGTAAGAAATTCCAAGTCAGGGTGATGGTACTAGGTCAGTATAGTAAAACCCTCAAAGGGTTTGGCGTATGTGTCAGTTTTTTTTATTGACCTTGTAAATTTTTTCCTTATCTTGATGTTTTGCTTAGTTGTAAAAAAAAAAGACCGAGAATGCTCTTAACATCCCTGCGACAGAAACATCGTAAGCCTTCTATTACTTCTTTGATTGCCTGCCATGCATTCAATTCAGCGTCAATCAAAATATTGTTGAATGCGTCACTTTTAATCAGCTTTCGTATATCTGGACGCCTGATTGGAAAAAATTAATTTGTTAAGATGGAAAACTATGGTAAATAAGGAAAAAATTTAAAAGGTCAATAAAAAAAACTGACCTCTTGAGGGTTTTACGATACTGACCTAGTACCATCACCCTGACTTGGATCAATGTTTTTGCGTATTTGGGCAGTTTAAATACATTTTAAAGTAATATACTAAAATTTTGAAGATCAATCAGCATATCTTTGAATAGGTTTGGCTCAAAACTGTATTTTCCAACTATTATTATTATATTTCTTCGAATTATATTTCTTCGAACAATGACCAACCAGTTTTTCGATTGGCAAATGTAATTTTGGCGGGCTAAAAATCATCTCATTTTTAAACAAAATCCAATATTTTTTAAGCTGGTGATGTTGGTGTGTAAATAAGTAATTGAAAATCTTGTAAAAATGTACAATATTGATCTAACGTTTTGAGCAGGATTTTGAACTTTCTGTTATCAATTTAGCTACTGATTCAAACAGTGTTGGATTTTTTTGAAATAACAGCCCTTGGCCGGGTAAAACCTAGTTAAATTACCTTAACGTAGACTCGTCTGTTTTCTTGCCTATTTTTAGGCGCTTAAGCCGATACACTTCTGATATGGTGCAAATAATTGAGAACTCATTAAGGGGTCAGTAAGGTGATATGGCTCGTTTTTTGACAATTTTTTCATACAAATTTTTATTCTTCAATAGAAATTTTCACATATCATGAGGTACATATATCGTGGAGTTTAAAAGCTAATTTTTTTTGCAATTTTTTGATGACATTTGTCGGAGAAATGGCTAGCTGAATGAGATGCGTTTTTTTACTGGCGGGCACGATTTCTCTTGTTTGGATCATCTGAAACACCAATACCCAATTTATTCATAAATGTACGTGAATGGTTATCGTCCCTACTAGAATCTCGAAAAAATGTTGTTAAATAAAAAAGTAATTAACGTTTCTTTTTTTAATTTTTCCCCATCTTTTTTTACTTAAATTTTGTCATAGCATTGTCAATAAATTATAAAAAATTATGAATTTAGTGGGGACGATAGCCAGGCGTTTTGTGAACATTAAAAAAAACTAAGCAAATCGGTTTAGTAGTTCGACCGGAATCATGTCCGCCAGTTTAAAAAAGGGTGTTTTGAAAAAAAAAACACGTTTAAAGTTTGAGGTGTGCACTCCGAGCACTCCGAACGTCGAGGGGTATTATTAGTTTTGGGCCTTTTTCGAAACCTTCCAATAGTAAAGTGGGTTTMTACATTAATTGTAAGGGTGTAAGGGAACCGAAAATGCAAAAAAAAAAAAATTTTTTTTAAAGATCGCCCTACTGACCTATTTATAATTATTTATTAATGATTTATGATTACATATAAAGGTTAACTGTAATTTTTAATTTTTAGTTTTAGTATAGAATTGGTTATGGAAGACTATTTGGCGTGAAAAATTACTATGTTTAAAGAAATTATTTGGATTACTTTATCATTCTATTGTGGTATATTACAATAAAAGTGAATATTTTGTCTTGATTTTATTTTGCTTATTATATATGTATATACATTAATTTATTTATATATAAATAGTTATGAATGAAATTTATGATTACCAGACACCATAAGCAAAAATAAATAGATTGTTAAGTTTGAGACTTCACTTTAATGCATTTTTTTATTTTCCCAAATCAACATTTATTATATTGAATGTAATCATATGTAAAATATTAAAGCATTAGAGATAAAAACCGGTTGAGAGATTATCTCGCTTTAAAGAAAAAATAAATAATAATAATGAGTTATCTGTAGTAATCGGCTTAGTTGAGTAGTAGTACCTATTAATATACTCATAAATACCAACATATAATATAAATCGATACAATATTTGTATAAATTAATAAAAACTAGTATTTATTTTAAATATGGAACACCTGCATTATTTACAAACACATCCATTACTGTGACTGCTTTTACTTAACATATTTCTTCCTCTTCTATTTCTCTATTAAGAAGAAAAAAATCACTAAAAATTTAACAAGTGCTCTTCAATAAAATGAATAATAATTTGGAAAATTTGGTGAAGGGTATTTCTGATATAAATATGGATAAGCTTGATCCTAACGTGTCGGTAAGTTGTGTATAGAGATTTTCAAAATAGTATTTGCATTATTAATTGGAAACTATCTTTAACTACAATTATACCAAAAAATATGGTTTTATGAAAAATAATTTATTAACCCTTAGATCGACATGGAGGCACCCGAGTTCAAAGATTTTGCTAAAACGATGGTTGATTATATCGCCGATTATTTGGAGAATATACGCGATAGGTAAGCAAAGCAGAATAAAGAGAAAAAAGTTGATCACTCAGCAGTGTCAAAAATCGGCGCAAATGAATATACACCGGTATAGAACTTGTAGCTCCATTTTTAAGAAAATAAACATACATGTAAGGGATTTCATTAACATAATTATTGATAGAGCTAATAAAAAATGTAGAAAGTCCATTTAAGAGAGAGCCACTATCTCTGGAATGTGCTATCTCATGAAATCTTATCATTGCTTAACACAAGTCAAGCCACTTACAATTTAGAGTAAAGTCTCTATATAGCATACATATGTACATATTTCTACATAACTGTATTATAATAATGAATGCATACTTAAGATTACAATTTGTGTTTAATTTTACAAAATTGAAGACGGGATAAGTTGAAATAAACTAATAGCATTGGATTCTAGCCATTAATTTAATAAATTTGAAAATTTTGTTTATATAAGGATTTGCTTAATTTTCCAGAAATACTGAATACTGAGTAATGAAAGTGAGAAATATGTATATATGTGCGATTGCAACTTTATAAAAAAACTTACTATAGAAGGTGATGCTAGCTCTTAAGATTAAGTGCTCAAATGCCGTTAATAGCGGTAGAAAGCAAATCAGCTGATTTATTCTTCAAAATTTGTTGTACAATGTTAAAAATATGCACCAAAAGAAAACATTTTGTCGGAGCATAGTGAAATTTTACATTTTTTCGCTTCAAACTATAGATTTATCAAAAAAATGTTTTATTTCAATTGCAATTGCATAATTCTGAACCGATATACATACATATGTATGTTGCTGATCGATAATTTTGTCTTTAGCATAAAATCGTTTACTTTTTTGCTTTGATTATATTATATTTAAAATAAAAAAGCAAAAGAATACATATAATTATGCAAATGTGCTTTTTTTCTAATATTAAAATTAATTAAAAAAATAATTTTTAAAAAAAAAAAAAAAACGTTATTTATACACATGACATTTTTTTCTGTAATACTGTAATTTAAATAAAAAAAACATATTTAAATGCTTACAAATTTTACATCCAACTTGTACATACAGAAACTTTTTTACCAACCAAATTGGGTATTACTTAGTTAATACAATTGTTGTATGCACATACTGGTAAAATATATGTATGTACATATGTATGTATATATGTATGTATATATATGAATATGTATATACAAATTTGAATTTTAATTCAGTTACGCTCCATTCCATCAATAATTCTCACTTTCAAATACCGACATTGAAATACAAAAATAATAAAAATATACTAAGCAAAAGCACAAAATCACGAAAAAGCATTCGGTACATTTTCTCAGTCACGCCTAAAGGTCAAACCGAATGACTGGTTCCGCACTTTCATTTCTTATTGCAATATAATTAGCATTTAAGCCTTCAGTTACAAAACTAAGAAAAACGACCAGCCAAATGACTGAGTAAAGCTGGCAGCAAACACGTGTGCTTGTTCTTCAATGAAACTCGGTGAATGTATATACATACTTCATATTTATATATTATATTCAATGTGAACCTATGAGCATAACTGCTATATGTGCTGTTAATCTTAGCTTCAAATAATTAGCTAACCTTGTAATTATATAACTAATTAAAAGTGAAATAATAATGCGAACGGCATTAGGCTGCATTCATTGCATTGTCGCGTTCTTTATTGTTTTACGGTTGAATTTTACTATTACGGCAATATTTAACAAATAAATTGTAATCTGTCTGATACTATTTTGAATAGATTAGATGATTTTTGAAAGCTTGGTTTTCAAAACTCCCTTGTTAGTGATAAATTTCGACATTAGTGTTCTGGTCTGTCACTTTTGACGGATATCCTGCTAAGCTCTGTTTACCGTTTTGACAGCTTTAACATATAACCATAATTTAGTACTTCGTCTCTTAAGTTTTTCAGATCTTAAAAAAAAAAAAAAATAATAATAATATTTCGTGGTTTTGACAAATTTCTTCGTGAGTTGTCCGGCTGTTCTACCGTTTTTTATAGCTGTAATCCTTCGTGACTAAGAAAAATTCAAAATATGCAGTGATTTTTTTTTTTTTTTTTGAAGATCATCCTTACTCGGAATTCTTTAACTTATGTACAAATTATGTTCTGTAAATAAAATAGAAATATTTAACATTTTTAAATAATTTCAGACGTGTTCTTTCCGATGTAAAACCCGGTTATTTGCGACCACTCATTCCCGATGCTGCACCGGAGACACCAGAAAGTTGGGAGGATGTTATGAAGGATATTGAGCGGGTTATAATGCCTGGCGTCACACACTGGCATAGTCCCAAGTTCCATGCATACTTTCCAACAGCCAACTCATATCCAGCCATTGTAGCAGATATGTTAAGTGGTGCTATAGCATGCATTGGTTTCTCTTGGGTATGTTGTTTGACAATATTCTCAATTGTTAAATTCGAAAAATAACAATTTTTTTTTAAAGATTGCCAGTCCCGCATGTACCGAGTTGGAAGTAGTCATGTTGGATTGGTTGGGAAAAATGATTGGTTTGCCCAATGAGTTCTTGGCCTGCTCGGGTGGAAAAGGCGGTGGTGTGATACAAGGAACAGCCAGCGAAGCAACTCTTGTGGCACTTTTGGGTGCTAAAGCTAAGAAAATCGAAGAGATTAAAAAACTGCACCCAGACTGGAGTGAAAATACAATAATTTCTAAATTGGTTGGCTACAGCTCTTCACAGGCGCATTCGTCGGTTGAGCGTGCTGGTTTACTTGGTGGTGTTAAATTGCGTGGCGTCCCAGCTGATAAAGACAATCGACTTCGTGGTGAAGCTTTAGAAGCGGCAATTAAAAAGGATTTGGAGGACGGACTTATACCATTCTATGTACGTAGAAGTAAAATACATTGGTTAAGGAATTTAAAAATATAATTATTATATTTTTCTTTAGCGAAGTTTACTTTTTATAATTTATGAAAAAATTATTTGAGTATATTTGTCATATGAGTTCGAAAATTGTTTTTTACATTACAACAATTTTTAGAGCTAGCCATTAGAAAACGCTAGTAACCATACTTTTTCGAATACCAGAAATTTAATTTTGCTATTTTTTTCAATTTAAATATTAAAATTGAGTAGCTTATAATTTACAGCTATAAAGTCTTTTAAAAAATGTTTGAAATAATTCAAATTTTGAACTTTTCTTAATATAACGAGTAGTTGTGTTTGTTATGAGAATACTTTTTACTTTCTTTAAGCAAATTTAAGTACATACATACATATATGTCTATGCCAATTTTTTATAAGAATATTTACGCTCCAGTAATTTCGAATAAATTTCTAATATATTTTTTATGTCTATTTGTAGGCTGTCGTCACTTTGGGCACTACTAATTCATGTGCTTTCGATTACTTAGACGAATGTGGCCCTGTTGGCAACAAGTACGGCGTTTGGATACATGTGGATGCTGCTTATGCGGGTGCCGCTTTCATTTGCCCCGAATATCGTCATCTGATGAAAGGCATCGAAACAGCAGACTCGTTTAATTTTAATCCACACAAATGGATGTTGGTGAATTTCGACTGCAGCGCTATGTGGCTCAAAGATCCCAGTTGGGTGGTGAATGCTTTCAATGTGGACCCATTGTATTTGAAGCATGACATGCAGGGTTCAGCACCCGACTACCGACACTGGCAAATTCCATTAGGTCGTCGTTTCCGTGCTTTGAAATTGTGGTTTGTACTACGTTTGTATGGCGTTCAAAATCTACAAGCACACATAAGACGTCACTGTGGCTATGCTACACAGTTTGCTGACCTCTGCAGGGCTGATAATCGTTTTGAAATCGTTGGTGATGTAAATATGGGTTTGGTTTGTTTCCGTTTAAAGGGTGCTAATGACAAGAGTGAGAAACTTTTGAGACTTATTAACGGACGCGGTAACATACATATGGTGCCGAGTAAAATAAATGATGTATACTTTTTGCGTATGGCTGTTTGCTCCAGATTCACCAAGCCAGAGGATATGGAGTATTCTTGGCATGAAGTTAGTGAAGCTGCCAATGACATCTGCAAGGAGTAAAAACAATAAAACCATTCGTATTAAAAATGAAGACTTAAAACATAAAGAAAGAAAATGACTCATTTAGGGAACGAACCTGAAGTTGTACTTCAATTGGTTCTATGACAACGAATGCCTGCTAACATTCTCTCTACTATATATATTCCATTAGTATATAAATGCTTAAATATATTATTGTTGTTGATATTATAGCCAAATACTATTTACTTAATGCTTTTAACAGTTTTGCATTGTTGTTGTGTGTTATATGCTAATAAGTAAGCTATTTATAAGCTTTAAATCGAAGTTAATGTTATTAAATCGTAATTAAAAAAATATCACATAGGTCATTTCATTTCTTTGACTTTAATTAAATAGCCTCGTGTTTGTTGTAATGATCGATTATGCGTTGCGCCTCTCTAATACCACTCTTGTGCGCACCATCTACAGTACCAAAGCCTTCTACTATGGTTGCATCGCCAGCAAAGAGTAGACTTGACATGGGCCCCACCGGCTCGGCCAGTGTTAAAACGTCATTTATTGTGCTACCAGTGGAAAAATAAGGACGACCACCCAAATAGCATGCCAGTGAACTCCAATTAGAACGCAAGATCGTAGTAGGATAAGGAATATTTTGATTTTTCAACAATGTACGCAATAGATTTGTAATTTCGGTTAGCACTTCCAGATCTGGTAATTTTTCAATTTTTTCGTAAAATTCACCACCAATAATTACTTCCACCACTCTATTGCTTTTTGGTAATTTCGATATCTCGACTACTTGCTTCGTCCATGTCATATCGGAATTAGTGCCATCAGCTTGCCATAATGGCCGCAAACTACTCTTCAGCCAGCTGTCTATATTTCCCTCGTATTCAAAATAAATTTTTACTGGACTACCGAAACCAAGTTTTTTTATAGAATTTATTTTGTTGCTTGGTAATGACGGTCGGAACATATTTTCAGAAAATATTTTAAGTACACCCAATGGCACCGTGCAAATTATGTGATCTGCGCGAAATACATCACCATCTAAGCAAGCAACACGTTTTCCACCAATTTCTGGTGGTATATACCAATTGATTTCACCAACCGGCTTGCCAATCTTCAATTGCGTATTGCAGAGATTTTTTGTCAAAACACTTAATATGTTGTCTAAGCCAGTAGGTATGTAAATGTAGTTGCCAAAATTTACACCATTTTTCAACTTTGTTATATGTTCAATATTAACATATTCCAGCGAGCAACCTAAAAGGCTGCCAAACTCTTTGATTAGTGAATTGAATATTTCATTGGCAGTTTTCCGTTCATCTCCATTAAAAACTGATGTCACCAATCTTGATTTTTCAGCTTGAAAATATGTGTGTAAATTATTCAGGTCATCCATAGCGCCAGTTCTGTATTTTTCATCCAGCTGAATATGTGAACAAAGCCGCTTGTATAGTCTATCTATTAACTCGGGCAGTTTCCGATCAACTTTTTCTCCAAATGCATTTATATACAGTTTGTCTTTGTTTGGTATTACTTTTTTCGGTAGTCCTCTCATGCTTTGCAGTATGTTGTAGACCGTATCATCTTTTGCGTTTATGGGCACAAATTTCGCGCCCAACTCGCAGTAAGCATCACCGAATTGCTTGGAAATTATGCGTCCACCATAACGATCAGTAGCCTCTAGTACTATTGTTTGTTTGAAACCATTTTTCATTAAATGATTCGCAGCCGACAGACCGGCAAGTCCTGCGCCAATAACGACTACGGCAACCTCATTTCTGGGTTTATTCAAAATGTTTGTTGGATATGTGGTTTTGAACGTATTATTAACTAGGTTTGTACCGTGTAGTTTTCGTCCCACACAACGAATGCTGAAAAATTTGTGTTCAGTAAACATTAGAAAAACTAAATACAAGGCTCTAGAAATTAAATGTCAACTGGTCTTACTATCTCATTGCACTTCCTTTATTTGCCGTAATTTAAATTTTTAAGATGGTTATTAAAAAAAACTCTTTTTTGTAGTTTCAAATGGAAATTTATTTTCACTAAAATGTTTGACTTGAAATAGCGACCGAAATATTTTTTATATTTTGTTATTATTTGCTGTTATTACCAGATGTTTATTTTCTTAGCAATTTAGGGTATTTGGCAAATATATCAGCTGGGTAACATGGCGCTGCCACCCTTGACTATGAGTTCGGAAACAGTCACGTCTAAAAATAAATTGTATTTTCTACAAAAGTATGCTACACCAAAAAAGTGTTAAATAAATAATATACATTGAAAAGTGCTGCATATATTTAAAATTTATTAAAAATGGATAACATATAATATTTTGTATTCAGTATTTGTTTTGTGATACTGTAACTTTCATAAATAAACATATTTTTATGTTTAACACTACCGTGATAATAAATTATTATTTTTTCAATAATTTATCATCTACCGATATAAATAAATATGATTGTAAAATTGATGGTAAGTAAATTGGTCAGGTGATAATCAGAAACTCTATTATTAAGGTGAAAGGAAATACATAAATGTTTGTAATTTCTAGTAAAATAATCTTTTTTATATAATTTCTTCAATTAATTGAATAATTGAATATTACCTAAATTTAAAGACTGCCGCTTCCTTAAAATTTGCAAACAAATTTCGTTTATAGTCCTTTCGCATTTGGCAATGCTATCGGGTATTTCCAGTTCTTCCTGCATCACACTCATTTCATTCAGTTAATTTTGAATTTCAGTCCAGGCAAAATTAACGTCTTCATCTTTAGTATCCATTCTAAAACAAACGATGCCAAGTGATGCAATTATCAGCTAAAATATATTTTTCGAAATGCGCCGATAGTTTCAGATGGTGTCGTAAATGCCTACGTCAAGTTTAAGACTTTAAGTGCCCGAAAACGTATACCCACCGATATTTGCCAATTGCGGAAGCCAAGCAAGTCATGCTTATTAGTTTTCTCATTGTTTTCTAAGGAGAGGCGGTTCACTTGAAGAGTTTCCATAAGTTTTCTAGCATCTTTCAGCCTAATTACTGCACAATCGTAATTGACCATCAGTAATTTATGCAAATTTATATTGAGGGTATCTATACACATAGTTATACACATTGTGTGTATTACTCCTCGGGATAAATCTTCTCTTACCGCTGCTTCCAACTGTTGTGCGGCCAGAATCCGTTGTAGTTTACGTGAGTATCTGCCTGCGAAGGCCTAACCTCACGGTGCTTTCTATTGCTAGAAGCACGTAGATCAATACAATGCGTATTTATGCATCAGCGCCCCAAAGCATAAATGCATTTTGCCCTTATACCTTGGTTCCAATTGGTTCGGGTGGATAGGGACACCCTAGTCACCTTGGTCGGGTTCGAGGCCCATCTAAAACCTCTGCCATACTCTGGGTCCGGCACCCGGCCGCATGCAACTAATGCCCTTCCTGCATTTAGGTACAAACCACAATCTCCACAAGGGGCCAAACCCAATGAGCAGATTGGAGTTACCTCCATGGGCTATCTGCTCCTGGTGGTACCAGGTTATGGTCTTTGGTGTGGCTTTGTAGCTTTTGCTACTACCAGTTGAGTCCCCAAAAACTCAATGACTGGTGACATTTGTCGCTGTGACAAATGCTTTATATTTTGTGATATAAACATGCACAAAGCTTAGAATTTGACTTCCAGCAGAATATTATAGCACTTTTCTGACTTAGATCATGTTGACATTTAAACCAAGACCTGTAAATGTCAGACATAGTGCATGTGGTTTTTAGTCGCCTCTTACGACAGGCATGCATTGCCGCGGGTATATTCGGTTTTCCCTTGAACCCAGAGGGTCCCCCCCACCCGCAGAGGGAGTGTTGTGCGCACAGTACAAAATCATCTGCAGTGGGGAGCAATTGGATCGGCAAACAGGCAAATTTGCCTGACTTTTCTATAGAACTATTACTCTGGTCGCTGGAATATGCAGTTAATTTGGTTCCGATAATACTTTAGCTTATTTCCAATCGTTTTGTCATTCCTTGCACCATTTGCTCACGCGCTGATCTCACAGCAAGTAAAATTGAACCCTGAATTGCAAATGCAGAGGTAATCTAAGAAATTTAGGAAATCCAAAACGACTACTTCAAGTTCAGTGCAGACTGGACGGCAATCCTGTGGAAAATATTTGTGAATTAGCACCTATGGTGATCCAACCATATTATATAACAGACTCAACAAATTTAAACCCAGTATGCCAAGGCCAGCTATGAGTAACTCTCCGATAATAGATCCCATAGATTAGCCAGATAGATTGTAAGTATGAAAATGTGGTGACTGCCAATGTGTTAAAGCTGGCATTAAAATATTTCAATGTCATTCAATACATCCTGCCAATTTCCAGCCTGTTCTGGCATTTCATCGGGTATTGCGTGAATTATCGAAAACGGCTCGACTGATGACAGTACATTGCTAATTATAAAAAGAATTTAAGTACTTATTGATGAAAAGCTCATTATTTCTTGGTTAAAATTACTTAAATCCTTTACGATGAGATTTCCTAATCCTTTCATACAATTGCATAAATAGACCATTTTTGTGTTAGTACTTAAAGTGCGAAAGAGAGATAAAGTGTTTCAGTTTTAATATTCACTATATCGCAAGCAGAGTTTTAAGCAAAAAATAGTTTACTTCGCCCTTGCAGTGAAGATCTTTACCCAAAACTTTTTTCCAATACAAAAAGGTTAAGTCTCGATTTTAGAAGATTATTTCAAGTTCTATACTTTATATTTGAATGTTACTAAAATTTTGTTTATTTAACATATTGTTATATAGTATATATTATATATTTCTTAAATAGCCGATTAGCAAATCTATTGCACTATTTTCAAAATCACGGAATTCATTAAAGTCCATATTAGGTGTTAAAATTGTGATTTACTTTAGTGTTATTTAAAATACCTCAAAATCGCTGTTGAGAACTAGACGACTAAACGACACAAATACATGAGCGAAATATAGGTGATGCTGGAATATTGTATTGTGTAATATTTATTTTATACAAAAAATATTTATAAGCATAATTGTAATATGTGTATTTTTGTACAAATTCACCCACCCTGTTGGGATTTTTTAGTAACATATATACACGGTGATTCGAAAACGTTTTTAACTTATCATCAACATCAGTTGATTAAAAATAAAAGAAAAATGTGACGAAACATCACGTGATGATTTTTTTCATTTGACACACTTCTGACTATTCTTAAACCATAACAACCTGAATCGGAATTTTTTCTTGCGAACTCAACGACTAAATTTTACTGAAATTACGAACTTATATATTTTCCTATCCAGCGCAGAAACGATTCAAAGTATCAAAATATGGCGTATATAGTAGCTAGGTGAAGATCTGGACCGATTGCATCATCTTTTGATATTACTTAAGTATGTATAGTCATGATCATGCTTGCAAGCAATTTTATGTGGATAACTGACACACAGAACGTTATATATGTCTAAGGAAAGTCCGAAAATATTTTTGTTACTTATATAGAAGAAGTATTGACTCGAATTTTACCGTTTTTTTACACGTGCACTTATTCAGTACTTATATGGGTGATTGAAAACGTATTGTCCGATTTCGTAAATTTTTGAGATGTGAAATGGAATACCTGAAATATTTGTGTCGACTTTTATTCTTAACCTTCATTGGTTTTTCATTTATATGCCACAAAGTGAAAGAACTATGGAATTCAAAATTGTGATATACGGGAAGTCCGTAATAAAGTTGAATGCTGATTTATATGAAATCAAAAAAAAAAAAAAAATTATTGATTTTTAGAACTCGGAAAAAACGTATTTTTTTGTGACAAACTCGGGTTTTTTGTTATTGTAATCGTTACCTTTTAAGCGATCGTCTCAATGTGACTTTTTGAAAAATCACTGATTTTTCGATGTTTTTTTAAATGTTGAAATTAACTAATCGGTTTGGGTTTTTATAAATAAATACGTTCATGACGAATACAAAACGATATTTTTTATTTTTGTTTAATTAATAGTTAAATAAAGTGTTGAAGCGACGCAAAAAAAAAAAGGTCCTGTACGATGTCCACGATTGCGGCTGCAATTTTGATCTAAATTTGATTTTCACTCTCAAAGGAAGAGTTTTGAAGATATCTAGTTCCAATTTTCTTTGAAATTTGACAAAAAGTATCGAATTTGGAAAAATACGTTTAAAGATTAGAGTCGCTATGTTCCCCACTCTGTTCCCTTTTTACAATAAACGCTTTAGTGACCGTAATAATTTTAACTTCGACTTCAAAATTTTATGAGAATATTTATTAGAGTATATACCATCCCATAGTGCAAGAAAATTTTCAAAAATTTCACATTGAGACGATCCCTTAAGTTTTTTATATAAATAACATTCAAAATTTCCAAAAGTTCGGTGTAGCAGTGAGGGCCATCGACTTTGAAAAAGGAAAAATTTTGAAAGCTGAAAAAAAATGTTCAAAAGATATTTATACAAATACTCATAACTTCGACACGAAATTTAGATATAACATCCTTGAAATATTCTTATTTCTTTCTTTATTGGTGTAAATACCGCTTACGCAGTTATAGCCGAGTTTACAACAGCGCGCCAGTCGTTTCTTCTTTTTGCAATTTTACGCCAATTCGACATACCAAGTGCAGCCAGGACCTTCTCCAGCTGATCCTGAGTGGAGGTCTTCCCCTTCTTCTGCTTCCCCCGGCGAGTACTGCGTCGAATACTTCTAGAGCTGGAACGTTTTCATCCATTCTTCCGCAGAACCTTCCTCGAAAACTCGTAACGTCGACTCATCAGATGTAGTCATCGTTCATGGCTTTGCACCATATAGCAGGACGGTAATAATGAGTGACTTATAAAGTTTTGTCTTTGTTCGTCGAGAGAGGTTGTTTTATTATTCATTTCATCGGGGGTGTTTTATAC